GTGGAGTATCTTAGATGGCTGCTCACAGGCTTTTAAGACCCCAGACACTACTCACCAAGGTAGAATGCGGAACATTTTCTTTATAAACTGTGTTATGCCAGTTGAACTAGATGTTCCCTGAGACCATGGTCCCCACAGCCCTCCACCCAGCAATTCAGTCCCTCAGGGAGTTAGGATGTGTCTGTGGAGCTTCCATGACCTTTCCTTCTACAAGTTGTGCTGGCTTCCCCAGAATTGTGTACTGTCTTACCCTTCACCGAAATTACCACTCATCTATTGTCTATTTAGTATTCCGCCCCCCTGCCCCAATCCCTCGTAACCATCAAAAATTGTTTTTTTGTATGTAAACCTTTACATTAGTTTTTACAGTAGTAGTCTCATACAGTATTTGTCCTTTTGTGATTGACTTATTTCACTTAGCATAATGTCCTCCAGTTTCATCCATATTATGAGATGCTTCATAGATTCATCATTGTTATCATTGCATAATACTCCATTGTGTTGTATGTACCATGGTTTGTTTATCCATTCATCTGTTGATGGGCATTTAGGTTGTTTCCATCTTTTTGCTATTGTGAACAGTGCTGCAGTGAACATGGGTGTGCATATGTCTATTCGTGTGACGGCTCTTATTTCTCTAGGATATATTCCTAGGAGTGGGATTGCTGGATCATACGGTTCTTCTATTTCTAGCTTTCTAAGGAAGCGCCATGTCGTTTTCCAAAATGGTTGTATCATTTTGTGAACAGTGCCAACTTTTATCTTCATATAGTCAGAGCAGGAAGTGTGTGGATTTAAGGTACTAACCTGCAGAAGAATGTGCCTGTTAACAGTGAGCTGACTTTGAGAAGGATTTTACAGCATGCTGCTGAGTGACACCATGTGGATCCAGTTGTGCATACCTCCCATTTATAATTTCAGGTGGCTCTCAAAAAGCCCTCTACATCGGGGTGTATGAGGGCTTCTACAGATAACCCTAATCCAATTGGCCCTTCAAATTAGGTAGAATTGGGTTGTTTGATTCATGTGGCCCTACCATGAGTCAGAATCAACTCAATGGCAACTAACAACCGCAACAGCATTGTGGATTATCCGCTGGGGTGCTGAGGCTTTTGGAGCTTTTTGCTGTTCTTTTTAGGCTGACAAGTCTCTTGTGAAGTAGAAGCGTTTTCCTGCTTGTTCAGCAGAATTTCTTGACTCTTCTGCCTGTCCCTGGGTGGTGCTCCAGAAGGAAGGAAAGGAGCTTGGAGGGGAAGTTGCAGAAAATGGCAGGTGCTTGGGCTCAAGCATCTGTAATAATGAATAAGAGCTATGGGATTTCCTGATAAACTATAAAGTGTTCCTATTGTAGTTCCTTATTTGGTAGATTGCACATTATATTCTGATGATGATTTCTCACAGCTCAGATGCAAGCTAGAGTTGCCTTCTCCAGGAAGAGATAAGCAGGTATATTATAAGCCCAAACCAAACCCGTTGCTGTCGAGCGATTGCAACTCATAGTGACCCTATAGAACAGAGTAGAACTGCCCCCTAGGGTTTCCAAGGAGCGGCTGGTGGATTCGAACTACAGACCTTTTGTTTAACTGTTGAGCTCTTAACCACTGCACCACCAGGGCTCCCAGGTATATGATAGGTATTGCAGTTACTGGATTTTGATATGTGCATCGCTCTATGCTAACCACAAGGGGGTGCTTTAGTACCTTTCTTCCATATGATTGTGAGGCTTTGTGTTTACTGTCTTACTGATATCTAAGAAGTGCTTGGTTTCATATTGCTTTTAGTTTCATATTGCTTTTATCAGCCCATGAGCTATATGTGTGGGTAGCTGAGATTGGTATGACAGGTGACAGAGAAAATTTTAAGGAATGGTAAAACATCTTGACAATATTAAAATCCGTAGTAGTATTTTAGTGTACTTCATGTGTTAGAAAGATTCCTATCAAATTATCAAATGGAGAAAGACAAACCCAGAGAAAGACCTTCCTAGCTGAGGGCTTCCCAGGTGGTGTGTCTCACAAACAGTTTCAACCCTGAGAATGACAGTAAAATTGTCCTCCTGACTCACACTGAGTAAGTATTTTATTTCTGTCTTTAACCTGTCAGTAGACTAAGGCCTTGCATGCGTTTTTACCTGAGAGTGAGAATTCAGGTCTCTCCATGAAAATGTTTACTTGTGTTGATGTCTCCCATTCTCTGTAGAAAACATGAATTTCCCCAATGGCTTCCCCTGTCCTGTAGAGGTTCAGACGGACTTTATCGACAACAATCCTCAGTCTACTTGGAACACGGCCACCAGCATGCCGACTGCTTGGGGACATGCCAGCTTCATCAACTCTACGGTCAGTGTCCGCCCAGAGGTCAGTGTCTGCCCATCCTGTGCCCAGGGCCCTTGGCAGCACCCGGTTATTTCTGGTGTTTCTTTAATACTTGTCTCAATTAGTTTTAGAGTTGGGCTTGAATCAGCTACACCTGCTTGTTTCTTTTTAGATCACAGGAGCTAGGGCTGGCCACCCTCTGAAGGAACCTAACATGTAATCAGACTGGTAGGGGTTTACAGACGTTGATATTTCTACCCACCCCTGAATGAAAAAGACATCCCATACTACAAGAGGCATGCTCGTTTGTAGATAAAATGGAAATCGGGCCAGGAAGCCCCGTGTTTGACACAGCTATCGTAGGTGACCTTGCTGACCTTTTCATCTGTGATAATAGATGAAATGGAAGTCCAGGGAAGGTCAGTGGTGGTGATTGGGTCATGACATCTTCTGCCTGTGAACACCCACCCCTCCATCCTAGAGTCCAGGACTTTCCCCTTTCATATCTGCTCAGTAGTTTTTACAGATTAAGAGCATTTGACCTATGGACCATCCCTTGGGTTCAAAATTAGTATATCTAGTCAGATGAGGATTTCACAACCCTCCATCTGAGGAAAGCGGAGTTAAAACAACCCCAATTGTTGAGAATAGTTTAATAACTTCCAATAACTTTTGTTGAAAGCTCTTGGGTGTGCAAATGGTTTTGTGCTCAATTGCTAACCTAAAGATTGGCAGTTCAAACCCACCCAGCAGTACCAGGGATGAAAAGGCCTGGCAGTCTCCTTCTATAAAGATTACAGCCAAGAAAACCCTATGGAGCTGTTCTACTCTGTCACACATGGGTCGGAATCGACTTGATGGCAACTAACAACAACAAGTTGGGTTGATACTATTGTGATGTCCACTATTATATATTCAACTTCAACATTTGCGTATCTAAGGCTTTTTTAATATTTTTTTCCTCTCCCCGTTCATACTCCAGCCCTACCTCGCAAGCACCCGAAGCTTGTCTCCAATGTCTGGACTTTTTGGTTCCATCTGGGCCCCACAGAGTGATGTGTATGAAAATTGCTGCTCCATCAACCCCACCACGGAACACGCGACTCACATGGAAAACCAGGCAGTCATGTGCAAGGAGTACTACCCAGGGTTTAACCCGTTTCGTGCCTATATGAACCTGGACATATGGACTACCACAGCAAATAGGAATGCCAACTTTCCACTCTCTAGAGACTCGAGTTACTGTGGGAATGTGTGACAAATTGGATTTCCAAACAATGTGAATAAAGATGCTTGTGTTTTGATTACTAGTGTGTAAACTGGTTGTTGAGATAGATTATGACATTGGTGGATATTTTGGCACTTTTATATGAAAATAAATTTTTTTAATGAAATCTAGGCACTCTATTTTTTTAATCCTTCGTAAATCAGTGGTAGGAACTCGGCATCCATGTCATAACTTCATAATTCAAGATGTGGGTCAAATGTGCCACGTGTTTAATCAGAATGCAGAAGACTTCTAAGAAGGTAAGAGTTGAGGAAGAAAGCTGCTGTGGCTCTCACCTCACTGAGCCTCCGTATCACCTGGGGCACTTTTAAAAATTGTGAGGTTGTTCAGGCTCCATTCCCAGAGATTCTGATTTAATTGATCCGGGGCTCTGAGCACAGGATTTTTTTTTTTTTAAGTTCTCCACTATTTTAATGTGCAGCCAGTGTTGAGAACTACTGGCTAAGGAAGCCCAACTTGGCAGAAAGTGATTGCCTGGATTGACTGTGCTGGGGGCTGGAGAACACTCTTTCTGGTCCTGGTGTGGGAGTGCTGGGGAGCAGAGCACCTGGCAGAGCTCTGCCTGTCACAGTTATGGTGAGAACTCCCTCCCCTACATCTTCAAGCCACTGGGGTGACGACAGCACGGGGACGTTCTGGTAAGTGGTTTCCCTCTTGGAGTGTGCAGGTTTACTCCGAATGCAAGTACTTAGGTACTTAGTACTTAGGGCTAGGTAGCTGATGCATGTTAGTCTGTATCTGTCAGTGACTATACAAGTCCAAATTATGGTAGAATTACATATTTGCATGTGTAAGCTCTGAAAACACTTTAAACTTCTAATAAAAATAGCCTATTTTTATATATTTTTTTGTCTTTATTGAGAATTCAGTAATACATTTTTGAGTGCAATGCTAGGTTTTTGTGCTTTGAGTTGAATTTTTCTTTGCAATGGTTGTGTGTGAGCTTGGGACCAGCAGGACAAGTGTGCTGGGAATTAGGGACTGCCCTTTTGCAGGGAGTACCTCTGAGCATGCACAGCATTTCCGCTGAGCACGCATGACTGCTAGAAAATCCTCAGGTTGCCAAGTTAGGATCCTGATTTGAGTCAATCAGTCTTCTTTACCCCCTCCCCCCAAATTTGAATAATGGTAAAGATAACTTTGCATTGGGCCAGTCTGCTGCAAAAGACCTCTTTAAAGTGTTAAAAAGCAAAGATGTCACTTTGAGGATTAAGGTGTTCCTGACCCAAGCCATGTTATTTTCAATCACCTCATATGCATGAGAAGGCTGGACAATGAAAAAGGAAGACTGAAGAAAAGTTGACACATTTGAATTATGGTGTTGGCGAAGAATATTGAATATACCATGGACTGCCAGAAGAACAAACAAATCTGTCTTGGAAGAAATACAGTCAGAATGCTCCTTAGAAACGAAGATGGCGAGATTTCATCTCATGTACTTTGGACACGTTATCAGGAGGGACCAGTCCCTGGAGAAGGATATCATGCTTGGTAAAGTAGAGGATCAACGAAAAAAAGGAAGACCCTTGACAAGATGGATGGATACAGTGGCTACAACAATGGGCTCAAACATAGCAACAATTGTGAGGATGGTGTAGGACTGGGCAGTGTTTTGTTCTGTTGTACATAGGGTCGTACCTGCCCTGCTCTTCTGTGCTTCAGCCCAGAAATAATAACCAGCAGTGACAACACTTCTGCTCACAATCCATTGGCCAGAACTAGTCATGTGGTCCTGCTCAGTTGGAAGAGAACAGAGAAGTAGAGGTTTCCATGTTTCCAGAAAAGAGAACTGGATATTTCTGAGCACTAGTAGTGTTTCACCACACATACAGAAGTTTTGAAGAAGTTTTTTTTATTCCCCCTCTAGTTAGAAAGAGAGGTCCCTGGGTGGCACCGATGGTTTGCTCTAGACTGCTAATCAAAAGGTTGGCAGTTTGAACCCTTCCAGCAGCACTGTGGAAGAAAGACCTGGTGATCTACTCTCATAAAAATTACAGCCAAGAAAATGCTGTGGAGCAGTTCTACTCTGATACATGGGGTCACCATGAGTCAAACTCAACGGCAATGGGTTTGGTTTGGTCTTGTTTTTAGTTTGAGAGATTTTGGTCTCCAAACAAACACAGGGAAGCCAACAGAGCCTGGATCTCCTTCTAGAAAAGAAGCCCTAGAGTATCAGCAGAAGTCTGACTTGAGGCCCCACCATTTTAGCCGTGCCTCAGGAGTTCCTCAAAAACAAGTGCTAATTCCCCAGTGGAACCAGGCACCCACCCTCCAGTTCCACGCACTGAGGGAACTAGATTCACTTCACAGCTTCTGGAGTTTATGGTCCCATTAGGTGACTGACAGGAGTCCTGGTGGCACAATGGTTAAGCTCTCGGCTGCTAACACAGGTCAAACCCACCAGTAGCTCCGTGGGAGAAAAGACCTAAGGTCCTCCTCCAGTAACGATTACAGTACAGCCTAGGAAACCCTGTGGGGAGTTCTACTCTGTCCTATAGGGTCGCTATGAGTCGGAATTGACCACACACAACAGCAGGTGCCTAACCTGGCTCCACAGTGTGCACTCCATATGTTGTTTTTAACTTCAGAAAAATAAAATTTAAGAAAATAGGGACACAAACATATAAACTACTGAACAGCTATTCAAAAATAATTTGCCAGAGTAACCAGTATGTCTAAAACCTGAGTGACCATAAAAGGGCCCTCTGTTGGGTTAATTCTGAAGCAGAACTTCTTTGAAAGAATGGGTAGTGGTTATTCTGGAGGTAAAAGGTCAGCTTCCTAACTGGAACTGAAAGTTTAAATAAAGTTCTCGTGGGGGAAGAGAAAGGAACTCAGCGGAAGCAGTGTCGAAGCTTATGCTTTCATGCACTGGCTAAGATGAGAAAGATGATCAAAATTACTGTGGCATATTATTCTAGTGATTGAATGTGAGACAATCTGTTGTCTTGGTGCTAGCAGGAAGCAGCAGACATGCAGGTACAAGAACAATCAAGGCTGGGCCAGTGTGGTAATGGGAAATGGATTGGAAAGGCAGGCCTGAGAAATATTCCAGAGAGAGACCAAGCAGGGTGCACAGGTTGGAGCAAGGGAGCCTGGGAGATGGCCATGGCACTGACAGTCAAACAAAGCGTTTTCTCCTACCCAGCTAGAAGTTCTGCTTTAGAAATGACACTGGAGTTTTTTGCCTCAGCAACCATAGTCCTCTCTCCTCTCTGTTATCTACTCCACCTCCTTAAAGACAATGAACTCTCTTATTTTCTAAATTCATTGTGGGGCGTACCCAGCTCTTTTCTGCCTTTTAAGTATAGATGGAAACACCCTTATTGTTTGTTTTTTGCAGAAAATACAGATAACCAAAAGAAAAAAAATTAAAAATCATTGTAATCCTACTTCCCAATATGACATATTTCACATTTGGTACATTTCCTTCCATATTTGTGTGCATTTGTGTATTTTTCCAAAAATGTGATATACATACGATTCTGTGTACTGCTTTCCTACTTAATATTCTTTGCAAAACTAGACATTTCTGAATGCCTATTAGACATTTTATCTAGCATTTCACACTCAGTATGCCAACACCAAGCTTATTGCTTCTCATCTATCCCTAATCCAAATTTATGTCATTAATGCTGTATAACAAATATTTCTATTGCTTCACCTTCTGGACATACGGTAAAATTGTCATTAGGTGGGACCATGTTCTAGAGTCTTCCTTGTGTCTTTATCTCTGGCTCAACAACTGGCTTCTTTGGAAATGATGGCTGCACCATCAGTGTGGGTCCCTGAATGTGGCAGACAGATCCTAGGGTGGCCCACGTGACTCCTGCCTCCTAGTGTTTGTGCTCTTGTGTGATGCTTTGTCCTTGAGTGTGCGCAGGACCTGTGACTTGCTTCTGGCCAATAGAATATGGCAAGGTAATGGGCTGTTTCCCTGATTATGCTACATTGTATGTAAGACCCCATCTTGCTAGCAAACTTGTTCTCTCTGTTGCTGCCTTTGAAGAAGCTAGCTGTCATAAAGTAAGTGGTCATGTTAGAGAAGCCCAAGGGGCAAGGAACTGCAGGGGGCCTCTAGTTACTGAAGGTGACCTCAAGCAAGAAACTGAAACCCTCAGTCCCATAGCTATGAAGTAATGAATTCTGCTAAAAACCTGAGGGAGCTTGGAGGTAACTGTTCCCAGTTGAGCCTCTGATGAGATCACAGCCCCAGCCAACACCTGGAGGGCAGCCTGGTGAGACCCAGAGAAGACGACCCAGCTAAACCATGCTGCTTTGCTGGTTTACTGCCTGTCTCCTCCACTTTCCCTCTCTTACTACCATCAGAATTAAACTCCAGAGGCAGAGAATTTCTTTTATTCATTTCTATATTCCCAGCATTTAGATCAGTGGTTGGCACATAGTAGGCACTCAATAAATACTTATTGAATAAATGAAAAATGGGAAAGAATTTTGTTTTTCTTAACAGTGAGATAATTGTAATAAATTTATTAAATATAAGATACATAAGTAGTATTACAAAGTCTAGAGCAATTATAACTCTGTCATAAGATTGTTACTGATTTCCAAGTCTCAACAATAAAACAAAAAGGATATGGTTTGACCCATAGTGAAATTAAATTTGTGCTAAAGCAAAAATATGGAATATATATAATTTATATGTAGAGAGTCAGCAAAAAAGAGGAAGACCCTCAACGAGATGGATTGACACAGTGGCTGCAACAGTGGGCTCAAGCATAACAATGATTATGACCAGGCATAACAATGACAGGACCAGGCATTGTTTTGTTTTGTTGTACATAGGGTCTCTATAAGTCAGAACTGA